CCTAGAGCCACTAACTCTGACAACGCAACACTATTCCGATCAGCGTTTCGGGAATAAGGTCGTATTGGTTCATCATACTATACTCTATTTCGGAAGACGAGAAGAAAATCGAGTGCAGACCACACATCATAAGAGACGACGGCCAAGAGAAAAGCGGCTTTTTTCCTTAGCCGTCGTCTCTTATGGTGTGTGGTCTGCACTCGATTTTCTTCTCGTCTTCCGAAATCGAGGGTACGTCGAGAACCTCGTTGAGTTCTAGCCGTGCACCATTTTCCCATGGGAAAGATTGTTGATGTCATCGGTTCGGTGTAGAAGGCTATCCTAATTCTTTTTTCTCGATGGAAGAGTGCACTCCATTTTTCAGCCAGGACCATTTGGTATGAAATTGACTAAAAATAAGTGCAATCGTTTCGTTATAGATGTAGAAGGAAGTGACTCCTTTTTGGTTTCTTCCACCTGAAGTAGGCTGAATTTCGCTTGGTATTTTATTGTACTGTATTGTCATGCGATTTTGCGATGACCGTTGGACCAGAGCGGTTACCGACTGGATCCCTCGGGACGTCAAACGAACACCTGGACGACCGCCGGCCCGATGGTCAGACTTCTTCACGAAAGCTGAACGAAAGGAATGAAGGACTTCGTGTCCCTCGAGCGAGGAGGATCCACTGGACCACTCTAGCACGCGACAGGGACGAATGGAGACGTTGCTGGCGCCCGCTCGAGCAAATCGACGATCAACGGGACGACAGGTGATACAGGTGATTCTGTACATTCACGACGTAAACTAGAAACTTCTCCGCTGAAATGTGTGTCGTAAACGAAAAAAAAAACTTGAAAAAATTTAACCTTTTTTTACACACTACCTGTGCTAGGGTTTTACAAAGTCAGCATTTGGCGACTAATTCCAGCACTTGGACGAGTTACCCAGCGTTGATTACGGCGTATCGGCCAATTCAAACGAGCGGGTAAGTTGAACCGTGGAACAGACAAGTGCGGACAACTCGTCTGGCCCCGCCTTTTCCTTATTTTAGGGGGTATTCTTGTGCAGGGCTTTATGAACAGTTCTCCTCGCTTCTTGTGTTCATGTTTAGTCAATTCAGCATCCACAAGTTGATTGCTAACCGCTGTGACTCCACACATTTGGATGTGTGGGGGAGTTGCTTTTAGCTTACCGAAATTTTTTTAAACATCTGTAGAATCTGTCGCGGTAGGTACGGATGATGACCGACTCGTGCAGACAGCTCAAACTTGGGTAATTAAACGTTTATGCATCATTAATAAACAATAACAATACAACAGTACGACATAACATCAACGAACAACTTCTTAGGTATCAAGGTGAGTAAATACGGTATGAGAATCAAGATGGAAGTGAATAAACGACATGATCTTCAATGAGTCATAGGCAAACCAATAAGACTTAGGAGAGATTCATGACATCAGATAAATTAATGATAAATCAATATACAACATCAATGGCCATGGGTGAACAATCGATAAAGCTAGCAAAATAGAACATGCGAACAAATTGACTTCGAATGATGAGATACGATGGATGAGTGTAAGATAACAAGTGAATGTACGATGAACAAGTGAATTCACGATAAATAAGAATGCGCGATAAACAAGAATGCACGATAAGCAAGAGTGCGCGATAAGCAAGAATGCACGAAATCAAAGGGATGCTCTATCCTGGATGCACAATCCGCGGACGTCTGGAGTAATGAACACTTCAAGGCAAAACATTGGCTTATATATGGGGTTTCCCGCGCGATCTGGGAGTGATCAAATCAAATCAATGATCACCGTCGTGATACTCCCCCCTTGGGGCTGGTCCAGATCGGGCTCTATAGTAGTAGTCCTTGTTTGTCTCCAGTTCTTGCTCGATTTCCTCAATCTCTCTGTAATATTCGTAGATACGCTCAGGGAGTGTGCATATGGCCTTGTTGTGATCCGTGGAAGAACAATACATGCACTCCCTTCTGGTTCTCCAACAGTGAACGGTTTCATGTCTAATATCCAAACAATGCTCACAACGGATGCGCTTCAGTCTGCCTTTTACGGTGGGTACTTCCGGACAACTGTCGCTATAATGCAATCCTTTAGCGAAACAAAATGAGCATCGTAGAAAACGGTCCTTCTCTTGCATAGCGTCGTGCATATTAATCTTTCTTTCTGGAACTCTGCGCTCCATCTCGACTCGGTTTCTCAGAATGTTCAAGCGATGCTCAAGCTCGAGTCTCTCTTCTTCCGCCGATGGTCTTTCTGGCACGTTATTGTTGCTGTCGACGTCCCCCTCGTCAGAATTCTGGAAAACAACATCATCTTCCAGATCCAAGAGATCTTCCTCGGTGCTCCGTCTCGATGGTGTGCCCGCAGGTGAATGTGATTGCTTTTCCGAGACAAGACGACTATTATTTATGGGCTCTTTAGGTTCTTTCAGCATGCATTTGATTTCTTCTTGCAGTTGACTGCAATGCTCCCGTGTCTCGTCGAGTTTGTGCTCAAGATCGGTCAACTTGCGACTAAATTGTTCTTGCTGCTGACTGAAATGCTCGAATTTCTCATCAAGTTTGTGCTCGAGATTGGCTAGAATGCGCTTGATTTCATCGGACAATGATTCATGAGTCTCAGTATTCAGCTGGAGTTCGGCTTCGCGGATTTCCGTCTGGATCTTCTGACAAAAATCCTCTAAAAACTCGAGTTCTTTGCGAACAAACTCTGCCGTAAAGGTAGGGTCAAAAGACACTCCTTTGACTTCCTCTTCGAAAAACTTGTCCCTAGAGCTTGTTAATGAGTCATCCGCCTGAACAAGAAGTCTGTAGAGGTCGTAACCCATTGATAATGCTTCCGTTCCGCACCGAATTTTGTCCGTTATGTGACATGCCTGCAGATGCACCTTTTCCAAGTGGCATTTGTAAAGAGTGGCTTCGTTTTTGGCAAAGAATTCAGGCTTACGACCGCGGATCTCAGTGAAAAAGTCAAAGAGATTATTGGATTGAATGAGATCAATGACAGAACTAAGAATTGTACGAATTTTGTGTTGAATTTCGTCTTCTGATGGAAAGGAAGGTGCCAATTTGATGCGCCGCCTTTTGTATCGGATTGTTTCTATGAGTGTTTCTTCTTCTGCGCGACGTCTTCTGGTGTATTCGTCGTCCTTTTCCGATGACATCTTTCTGTAACATAATGCGCTGAGTGTGTTGTCAAGTAGAGTATCAAAATTTGTTTAAATGAACTTAATTTATCCGTTTTGGTTAGTAATGTAACATCCTTAATTTGGTGAGAACTCCTTTTAGAATGTTTTTTGCACTTTCTTTGGCAACAGATCTGAGTGATGCCCGTAAAAAATGTACGAAATGCACTGAATGTGATTCCATGTACAACAATGGTAGAAGAAAATGGTGCTTATTCCTGTTTCTTGAGATTGGATGTAATGTCCTAAACTAAAGGTTTTCCATGCATAGCGACAAGATGTTGCATGACTTCGACTGTCTGGCTTAAGGCATAAGGAACGCAGATTTTGATGCACTGATACTTCTTCTATGAAGCTGTGATGATGTGCACCCCTCTGTGGTTCTTTATCCTGTGGTGGAAGGAAATATACTCCTCGATACATGTATTGGCTTTGATGGCCTGAATTTACTTCAACACTTTTCTGAGTGGGATGTTCTCCATGCAGTATCGTGAAGACTGATAGCATTAGAGCCATCTTCAGATACAGTGAAGGCGGCCACGTTGGGGTCGACTTCCTTATTTGCAAACTCTGCACATGTTGTGCTTCGGCATGATGAGTGAGTGATTTCCTGGGGCGCAAGTTGTAGTGCGGATTAATGTTTTCCGGTGGCGAATGTTGCGTGTTTGACTGACTTTCCGGGGAATCCAAGTTTAACTTGCCGCTGTTTCCTTGAATTTCGAGAGGTACTAAGTGGTTCACCGAGCGTCTGAAAGTTTTTCCGTTGCTGGTGACCTGCGCTTCTCTCACTTCTCCGTCTTGACTTTGCATCAATTTCGTGATACGAGCAAGCTTCCAGTGGTTTCTTTTCATGAGCGGGTCTACCAAGAGTACGACCTGTCCTTCTTCTATCTTTATGATACTCCCACGCTTGTTGTCGATGTTCTGACGATGTTGTTCTCGTAGAGCTGTGAGGTAATGCGTTTTCCAAGTTATCCCAATATCTTTCTGTTAAGTCGCAGGAGGACTGGAGCGCCTTTTGAGCTTGGATTCTCGTTTCTAATTGAAGGGCTTCCGATGCCGGAAGGAAGGTTGGATCTGTGCGCTCTTCCTCAGGGAGTTTCCATGACATGTCGAGATTGATTTCTCGTTGAATGAAGTCTATAGGGCGTAATGGACGTAGGACGTCGTTGATACTGCTTTCTTGGTAGGTGAGTGGCCTACTATTGATGCAGCCTTCGATCTCGGTGAGGAATGTCTGAAGCTGTTCCATTGTAAGTATTCGTCTTCCTATTGCCTTGTATAGTGCCTGTTTGATTGATCTAATGAGACGCTCGTAGAAGCCGCCCTTCCAAGGCGAATGAGGCGTTATATGCTTCCATTCGATTAGTTGATTGCTCATTTCTCGACGGACGTCTTCATCCGTTGGATCATTGCTGAGGCTGTCATTTATGATTTGACTCCCAAGGATGAATATGGGGGCATTGTCACAGATCACTTGTTCTGGTTTCCCTCGTCGAGCGACGAAGCGACGAAATGCATTCAAGAAGTTTTCCGTCGTAGCATTAGGCACAATTTCCAAATGAACAAGTCGAGTTACTGAGCATGTAAATAATGCACCCATGAGCTTCCATGCGTTCCATGTTGTTTCCGTAGATGGGAATAGGACCGAAATAGTCCAGACCTGTATGTTGGAATGGTCGTGATCTTGTTACTCGATATTTCGGAAGATCCGTCATCTCAGGATATTTATAAGGCAAACTGTTCATCTTTTGACATGGTACACATGATCTGATGCACTTCTTGACTTGCTCACGGAGCCGTGGAATCCAGTATAGATGCCTTACTTCCACTATTGTGTGTCCAACATTTTTGTGATACTTTCCGTGTGCTTCTAGAATTATGAGTCGAGACAGCTCTGTGTTAGGTAAGACGAGAAGAGGATTTTTGGTCTCTTCGTCCAGGTCCGATTTGTTAAGGCGTCCGCATGCTCGTATGAGAAGGTTGTTGTCCTTTCTCAGATTGAGGTTTTTGAGGAAGTCATTCTTATGTTGTTGATGTAAGTGGACAGCTTGGTGGTTTCTGATTAATGCATGATGAGCGTCCTGAATGTCGGAGGCGGTAAGGTGATTTTCTTGGGACCGAGTGTGAATGTATCTCAAATAAGGTTGCAACTTGTTCCTTGACGAAGCTTGTAGTCGTTTTGTGGCATGTCTAATGAATTTGATGACATATGCGATTATCCTCAGAACTTTTGTTTTGCTGCTATAACGAGAGAGGTCTATCAATTCTTTCGGTTTGTCTGATGCATGTGATCCTGTGATTGATGCGGTCACGAAGGTTTCCATTAGTTCGCCGTCCTGATCGTCAGCTTGGATTTTTATGCGGAAAAATGAGGAGCTGATGCCATTTTCAGATATGCCTCGGAGAGAATAGGCCTTCCACCAAATGTGAGAAGAGAATTCTTCTCTTGATGCTCCACGTGTTCCTATGTCCGCGGGATTCTGTTTGGTGTCGATATATCCAAACTGGACTTGAACGTTCATTTCCTCCAATTCTTTGACGATGTTGTAGACTTCTTTCACTCGATTTTTAACATATGGACCAATACCTTGATGATGAATTGAACTTTTTGTCCAATTCAACGCGATTTCCGAGTCGGATAGAAGAATGACTCTGGTGATGCGCGTTGCATATCTCAGACTCAGATAGGTGTTCAGAGTCAATCGTGCTCCTATTGCTATTGCATTCATTTCCATTTTTGGGACTGTGGCTGGCCTTTTGTAGTCCGCAACCTTCGACTTGGCTATGAGGAAGTTGGAGTCATCCTCGGTTGCCAAGTATGTGCACGCCGTCATGGCGATCCCACTAGCGTCGCAGTACGTGATTAGTGAATGCGAGGTTGTGCAATGAGCTATCCTTCGATGCACATTTTTGTGAAATGCGTTCATATTTTTTGTAATGGAGCGCCATTCGTCTTGCAGATGTTTACTCAATGGTTCGTCCCAACTGTACTTCTCCTTCCATAGTTGTTGTTGGAAGTGCTTGGCTCTTACAAGAAGAGGTATGAGCCATCCAAAGGGGTCATATACTGACGCAATTTGTTGAGCAACTGTCCGTTTACTAACGAATTCTTCTGGTTGGACTTTTATGTTAATGGAAAACTCATCTGTTGTAGAATCCCATCGTAATCCGAGTACTTTGGGTGATGAGTTTGACGACTGATCTTCTGATTTGATTGCTTCCGTTATCGCAGAGGAATTGGATACGAATGCTCTCAGGTTCATTTGAAGTTCGTTGAAAATTGCTTTCAGATCTTTGTACTTCTGGATTCCTTCAGCTACAGACTCCGCTTTTACGAATAGGTTATCCACGTACAGATTTGATGCGATTTCTTCCGCCAAACTTTTGTTTTCCACGTAGTTGTTGAGGTGGTATAGGATAGTTGCACTCAACAAAAATGGCGAAGCGTTGATGCCAAATGTCACTCTTGTGAATCTGTATACTTTTAGATTGTCCTCGGTGACTGGTTTACTTATGTCTTTTAGCCACAGACATCTGGTGAAGTCCCTATCGTCCTTGTGTAAATGCACTTGCAGAAAGGCTTTTTCGACATCCGAAAGAAGAACATGCTTTCCTGTGCGGAATCGAAGAAGTATTCCGAACAGTTTAGGAAGCATGGTAGGTCCTTGATGCACAACGTCATTGAGTGAAGGACAGTTTCTGTAGTGCGCAGATGCGTCAAAGACTACTCTAAATTTGGTAGTGTCCTTATCTGGCGTGATGACAGGTTGATGTGGGAGGTAGTGCCGTTGTTTATAGGGATCCTCTTGACCTTCATCTACTACCTCTAGGACGTTTTTATTGAGCTGCTCTTGGAAAACTTCATGGTACTGGCGTAGAAGCTCTGGTTTGTCCTTATACTTTTGTATAGTACTTCTTAGGCGATGAAGTGCGAGGGCTCTGTTGTCAGGTAGTCGCTTGTGATCATCTTTGAGCGGAAGGCGAACGACATATCCTTCATCCTTCTTTTCGATCGATTTATTGAAATCTGCCAGGACCTGGGCATTGATGAGAGCCTTTTCTTCTTTCTCAGGCCCGCAGAATTCCTTTTCTAGTTCATGAGGTTGTATCGTCCAGTGGTGTTCCCATTGGCCAAGAAACTGATGTGATGACTCAACGGTATGAACTGAAGAGTTCATGTTGTTTGTGTTGTCTCCTGATTCGGCGTTGCGCTTCCCAGTAACCATGTAGCCTAGTCGCGTCGGTACCAGAACGAGACCAGATGGGAGAACGAAGTTTCTCTCTTCAAAGTTCATAAAGTTCCATAATTGGTCACAGCCAATGAGTATTTCTGGAGAGTGAGCACCTCCTTCCTTTGGAGCACTTAGAATGAGATGGTTGTCACGTATGAACTGAAGATCCTTTTCTTCAAGGCGCCCTCTATGATAATTCCTCGTGAGTCCATCATGTGTGAAAACGCGTAGATTGTGTTCTTTCCCTGTGGAGTCCCACACTTGCAAATATGTGTCAATGCACTGAATTTGTTTAGGATGCTTCTCTCCAAATGTGCACAATTTCATTGTGATCACATTATGTTCTGGTAGTTCTAGCTCTTTGGCGAGATTCGCGTCAATGAAAGAACGATCTGCGCCAGTGTCCAAGAGTACGTGTAACCTCAGTGGACGTCGTGTGCGTGGATGCACGGTGTGTAATGTTCCTGTAAGCAGGAATATTTCTCCTGGTTCACCTTTAGTGGTGTTTTCTATTTTCATCACAGTTAGATTTGTAGCTTCATCTTCTGTGAGTGTGCTATCCTCGTAGAATGCGCAATTTTGCTGCGCTTGAGGTGTTCTCTTGCTACTCTCCTTCTTCTTGTTTAGTGGTTTTGGCGGCGGTGTGCGTTCTGTAGTTTGCTTTGTTTGGAAGCAGGTTGATGTATGATGCTTCTTGCCGCATTTCATACAGCCTTTGCCTTTACATTCGGCAAAAACGTGATTTTTACCTCCGCATCCTATGCACCGGTTGGCCTTCTTCAGGTAGTCCAAACGTGCCTTTGGATTGACTATTTTTGTGCATTCAGTTGACCAATGCTCTTGGCTGTCGCAATAAAAGCAGAAAGTTGTGCGCTTTTTCCTCATTCCTGCTGTGCCTTTTGAGGTTTCTGTTGTTTCGGGGGGATTCTCCCTTCTTTTCGGCATGGACTGTTCGATTTCTTCTTCCTGTTTTATGACCTTGTCCAAGGTTGTCATAAGTTTCTTCAATGTCCATGTCTCTTGTTGAGGCAAGGAGATCTTTTCTCTAAGAGTTCTCCTTTGAATTGTCTCTGTGAACTTGCACAGTAGTTTTGATAACAGCCATGGGCTTTCTAAGTTTTCGCCCTTGCTCTCCAACTGCGCTGTGATTGCCGACAGTTGATCAAAGAGCTTGCGCTGATCTTTGAGATGTGAGCTTCTTGCACTCCACTGTTCCAGCTGTTGATGAAGGTTGGTTACAATGTTTTGAACGTTCCCATACTTTTCCTTCAAATGCGCTACCGCTAGGTTATAGTTCGCGGATGTCACTTGAAATCGGGATATGGAGTCGCGTGCTTCTCCCGTGAGTGATTTCCGAAGATAGTTGAATTTCTGTAAATTGGAAATCGGGAGTGTATGCACTGTTCCATTAAACAATTCCCAGAAACTGTCCCACTGCCAGACTTTGCCGCTGAATTTCGGAAGCGGAAGTTGTGGGAGCTCTGTTCCTATGACGGGACTTGTTGAATTTCCTGGAGGTGACCCAAGTTTACCGAAATGGGTGCGCTCCAGTGTACTTGATAATTGCTGCTTCTTGATTTCCAGCTTGATGAGCAACTCCTCAGTTTGAGCGATTATTTCCTGTGCTCTGGTGATGTGTTCCTCTTCCGTGAGGGGGTTTTTGAGCTTATCCACTGCTTCCGAGAAGCTGTATAGTGCTTTCTCGAATAAATTTTGGCGAGTTTTAATCTCTGCCTCTGCATTACAGAGCTGCGCCATCCTATCTCTCAAATTTGCGTCATCCTGATCTTGGTTTTGCATATCCTCACACAAAGGTGAATGTTTAACTAGCAACCCTGAGAGGGTGTTGATATGGCCAAGCAAAACCCCTTTTTTAATCCTCAGCGCTGTTGCCATTTCTTTGTTTGAAAGTTTCAATATAACTTCAATGTTTAATTGAGACGCAAGGGAGATATGTGTTATGAATTGATGTTCTAATCCAACTTATTGGATGCACCAATGTCAAATTTAAATGAATAATTCGCAGACTCTAGTAATGTTTGAATTGAAAGAAATTTATGAAAGGTGTTCAAAATGCACTTAAATGAATCGTAGTGCTCACCTTTCTCACTGCAGTGGATCTCCAAGGAATCGTCGTTGCAATTTCAATCAATGCTTCAATCCGCTTTGGGCGCAGCAATGCACAGAATATTGTTCGGTAATGCACACTATAATAGTGTTATAATAAAGTTCGAGTGGAGAAGTGAATATTTCCTGTGCACTACAAATGTTTATGGTGCCCACCTCTATTGCTGATCTTAGCACCGAAGAAATGCTCTGATCCACTTGGATGCACAATGCACCAGGAAGACTGAGTAATACACGAACTAAACGACAGTTGAATGCAGAAAGGATTTCTTGTGCACTGTTATAATTCGTAGTGCCCACCTTTTGGCTTGTTCTTAGCACTAAAGAACGAATCGGTACTCTTATCTGCTTGAATGCAACAATGCACAACGAAATCGGGGATTTGCACGAGCTACAATGATGTTCAAATAAGAAGTGGCTATTCCTTGCACTGCAAAGCTTGTAGTGCCTACCTTTCTTCTTGTTCTTAGCACTGGCTTCTCAAGGTTGCTTTTGAATGCAATGCCGTGATCCCACTTGGATGCACCTATGCACAAGCAATTCTCAGAGAAGTAAAGCGAATAATATTTTCAGAAAGAAGAATAGGATATTTATAGGTTATTTAATAGGTTATTTATGCACTGCGGTAGTTTGTAGTGCCCACCTTCCTTCTTGTTCTTAGCACTGGCTTCTCAAGGTTGCTTTTGAATGCAATGCCGTGATCCCACTTGGATGCACCTATGCACAAGCAATTCTCAGAGAAGTAAAGCGATAATATTTTCAGAAAGAAGAATAGGATATTTATAGGTTATTTAATAGGTTATTTATGCACTGCGGTAGTTTGTAGTGCCCACCTTCC